TCTTGGCACCTAATTCCAATTTTCAACATTGTACTGTGGGGTTAATAATACACATGTGCACACACATATATTCTAGCCAGATTTGCAACTTTTAATTTATGCTTTTTCTCTTGTTTATGAAAACAGTCCTACAAGATAAGTATGACAGATCCTTTTTATGGAAGAAGACGTAGGTCTAAAAGTGAAGAGCTGCTGTTAGTCACCAGTCCCTGTGTGGTCAATCCCCAATGCAGACTTGAATATATTTGGTCTTATAGCCTCTGCCCTTTTAATTTTTAATGTAGAAGGGAAAATATATTAATGCACTTAGCACAGAGTACGACATCATGAAAACCGAACACCTTGCTTGCTATGGGCCATTGACATGAAATTTTCTTCTCCATCCTTCTGCCCCACCCCATCCTCTTGGCCTCAGAGAAATCTACATTCCTGTAAGAGTCAGTCAGCCAGGGAGCCAGAAAGGGGGGGGGGGGCAGGTGGGAGGGGAGAGTCCGGGCAGTTTCCTGGCCAGGGGAGCCAGGTTGGTCGAAGAAAGCTGTGGGCACCAGGCTCAATATCCAGTAGCCAGCTGCGCCCACAGGCTGAAACCGGCTCCTGTCACAGTGTCCTCTGGGTGCCCTAGACTGAGTTTCAGGAGCCCGCCCAGCGCTGTGTCCCCGCCAGGCTCCTGCCACGCTGCTGTTGACTGTTCTCTGAGCTCAGATTAATTAGCCCGCGCCCCTCCCAACGACGGCATGTCTCCTGTCTCCAGTCCCCAGCCCGGACCTGGGAAGCTATTCTCAGCCTCTTCTACCATCTCTCAGGACAGTGACTGGATGTGTTCAGCCCTGCTCACCGGTCATCCCTGTGGTCACCACCCCAGGCTCCTCTAGCCTCCTACAGCACCTCCTGGCCATTACAGAACCTCAGATTGTTGGCACAGGGAGGGAGGATGCGTAAAGGTACTTCTTATCTCACTCCCTGGGTAGCTCTGCTCTGGCTCTCACCAGCGTGGATTCTAGAGTTCGGATGTATTCCTGAGTCTCTTTAATAACAACAGAGGGGCCTCCCTGTTGGCACAAGGGGTTAAGACACAACCTATGAAGCTGTCCACAGCCTCTGCAGCATGAGTTCAATCCCTGGCCAGGGAGCAACCCACATGACACAGCAGACCTCTCCTGACTCACCCGCTGCTCCCCTCAGCAGTGTGTTTCAGTCAGTCTGCCTGTTCTGCTCCCCACTCTGTCTCTGGTGAATCCTCTCACCACCCCCGCCCCCCACCTCTGGTCTACACCCCAGTTCTTGTATGCATAAATAAATAAATCTTGTTAAAAAAAAGGAATTTAAGATCCAGTCCAGTTTATAGACAGAACACAAAAACCTCAAGGATGAAGAGGAGTGTCTGATAGCCACAAGGTGCATTACTGAAACATAATTTCTCTCTCCATCATCTTCCTTTCTACCAAAGATACTCAAAATAGAATTAATTTGTTTGCAAATTAAGTCTGGTTTCAGTAAGCGTGGACTGATATTTACATAACTGAAGCAAGAATAGCTATTAATCATAGAGTTGTCTCTAAATGGGCTTTGCTGGAACTTTTCATAAGGAATCTCAAATTGAACTTTTAATAATAGTCTCCTAGGACTAAGAAGATGCACCAAGATCTTGCCATCAGATCTCACTTTTGATACCTATAAATGTGGGTTAGTTTCTCTCTTCTTGGGTTCCCCAAAATATCCTGAGGCTTCTGGGTGACCTTCATGGTGACCTTCATGGTCCTCCTGGTAGGCTGTCCAGGACCTGTAAGCAAGGTATGAATTTGATTTTGTATTTTTGTCTGTGTAAAGTCACCTCCCCGCTGTTTAAAGTTGTCTGGTCATATCTGAGTCCACGCACATCATTCTTAAATATGAGATTCCAATGAGAAATTCGATAGTATAACCTTGTTTCCAATAGTGTCTTATTACAGAGATAACAGATTTTTAATGAATTTATGCAAATAAATATGTTGCTATTAAAATAAGAATGATTTCTAATAATTTCCAAACTCTAGAGAGATCAGGGAGGAAGAAAAAATCAAATGTTTCAATTTTGTGAAGTTAAAATTTGCCAAATTGCTGCAGATCATAGCTAGCCTTCTTTACATCTAGAAAAACAAAGTACTAAAAACCAACAATTGGGCCTCCCTAGTGGCACAGCGGGTTGAATGCCACGCTGTGAAGCTGTCTGCAGCCTCTGCAGCACGCGTTCGATTCCCGCAGGCCAGGGATTTGTCAGTCTTTTCCATGAATCTCTCTGAACATGAAATACATTAGTAAAAGCATCAGGTAAATGATAACTTCTGTCAGTGACAAAAGATTTTGTCATCGTTCCAAAATCTGATGAGAATTGTTAATGTCATTGAAAAGGAAATTTGGTTATTGTGATATATACCATTTTAAAATAATAGCTAGGATGACAAACAATAATTTTATACAAGAACATTTTGAATTTCTATGAACTCATGCAAATTTTGGACACATATTAATAACATATCCACATAAATATAAACTAAGAAGTTTTAGCATCATGTGTTATTTGACAATGCTTTCCATGCAATACCAAATAAGCCAAATTAGTTTAACATTTCTTTTTTTTTTAAGATTTATTTATTTATTTATACATACAAGAGCTGGGGTATAGGCCAGAGGTGCAGGGTGAGGGTGAGAGGATTCACCAGAGACAGAGTGGGGAGCAGAACAGGCAAATCTACTGAAATATATTGCTAAGAGGAGCAGCAGGAACTCAGGTGGCAGAAGTGATAGTGTTGAGACTTACCCCCTCCACCACCAGGGAGGTCCTAGTTTAACATTTCTTCTTTTTTTATAAGGAGAGAGAACAAATCTTATGAGATGCTTTTTGAGGGACCCTCTGGGGAAAAAAATAAACTCAGTGACTTAGTCAAAAAGACTCAGATTTTGATACTGGGAATCTTGTTAAAAATATCAAAAGATTTTAAAACACTGGACTAAATACAATACTTCATTATTTAATCAAAGTGACAAGATTTAAAAGGCATATGTAGAAGTTTTACATTGTTCGAAGCAACACTTAATTCAATACTGAGCAGACTAGGTTTACTTAATAGAAACATGTTGGTAAAGATAAGAAGCACAAAATCTTTGCTTCCTAGGTACTTAAAAAGGCAAAGAAAAATCTTTCACAAACCCTGATCAGGAGCAGAGCCATAGTCTGAGAAAACTTTGTCCCTGGGTCCCCCTGATGAACACAAATTCTACGTGGTGAATGGAGATGACAGCAAACTGAAGAAAGAAGGGTCAGACTTCTAAGATTTAGAAAGATTTGACGGTTTTCCAGAAACAATCTACACCGTTTTCCATTCAAACAGGAAATACTTCCCTCTAAATGCAGGGAATCACATTCGTGTGCTGGGTTGGGGTTTACACCAATGGGTACATACCTGACATTTGGGGGGAAAAAAATTCTTTCCCTAGATTCCTGTACCACAAAACTTTTTTCTTTTAGATTTTTTAAAAATAAAATTGCATTTTAACATCATTCTATCTTTCAAGTTCCACAAAGCTACCACAATTTTCCTTTACAAAAGATTTTGTCTTATGCCTTTCCTCTTCCCCATTCTGCAAAATGAACCTCACTTTGAGACAAAATCACTTTTTTTCCCTCTGCAAAATGCATCTTCATTCCTTGTACCTTCTCTTATTGAAATCACATATCTTACTTTATTTGCATATGGAGATATTTCCCTTCTTTTTCCATTAATTTTCATTGTATATGTTAGTTAGAATTCTTAACCATAAAAATCCCAGCTTTTTAATAGAAACCAAATAAGCAATTGTGAACTCTGTTTTACCAGCATCATTTATTTATTTATTTATTTATTTATTTATTTATTTATTTATTTAAAAAAAGATTTATTTATTGATTGATTTATTTATACAAGAACCGGGGTAGAGGCCAGATACGCGGGAGGGTGAGAGGATTCACCAGAGACAGAGTGGGGAACAGAACAGGCAGACTGGCGAAATACACTGCTGACGGGAGCAGCGGGTGAGACAGGAGAGGTCTGCTTCGCCATGTGGGATTCTCGCCGGCTGGCAGGGATTGAACCAGCGCTGCAGAGGCTGTGAACAGCTTCACAGCACTGCACTCAACCTCCTGCGCAACCAGGGGAGGCCCTACCAGCATTCTTTAGATGGGTAAATTTATGAATAACTTCTATAATTTCAAAACATGTGTTTCCTTATACTACAATTTTCAATGTGACACAAGATGCATTTACAAAAAAGTCTAAATATCCTTAGTTCTTCTGTGACCAGAAACCAAAAATAAATAGTTTGGTAATTAATGTATTTGCATTTTATTTGTTTGAAAATAATCTTGATATTTAATGACTATCCACCATTTAACTTAGTAAAACTACAAGTTTTAAATTACCAAAAATATTTGAGAGATTATTTGCTAGAAAAATTATTTGCTGGAAAATTTACTTAGAAATTCTTATCCCACTTACATTACTTAAGCCTTTTACTTCTATTATAAACTGATTATAGGGCTATGAAATTAGACCAAAACTTACAAAATATTAAGGTAAAGTTGGCCATTATTTTAAGTTATTTTTCTTGTTAGGTGACATAAACTTATTTTGACTAGTAAACCCAAGTAGAATAAAAGTATTAATGGTGGTAACTCTAAAGATATGCCCATTTTAATTAAACCAGCAAACTTTTTTTTTTTTTTTTGTGGGACCCTCACCAGTAGTTGGGGCGCGAACCAGCATTGCAGAGATTGCTGGCAGCCTTGCAGCCCAGCGCTCAACCACTGCACCACCAGGGGAGGTCCTAAATCAACAAACCTAACCTCGCTCTTACCAAAAATTTTCCTAGATCACATTAATTTAAAAATTTTGTTTGCAGTAGATTTTATTATTTTCCGGGAGGTTTGGAAATTATGTATAGATGCACTTAGAAATTAAATAAAACTCATTTACAAATTTGTTTTGGTAATACCATCTGAAAGTAGAAAAATATAATTGTAATCAGACACATACACAGCTTATTATTAGAACACAAGTGAAAACTTACAAGTTTCATTTTAAGTTTTGTCATGAATCAGGCACAAATCTCCTATGGTCTAGATGTCTCCTGGGATGCTTTTAAGTAACCACTTTTAGATTTTTAAAGGGTTTTCTTTCCTCTTTGTGTTTTTTTCCTTATTCTTCCCCCTGATGTTTGCATTTCAATGGATGGCCTAGATTATGAGTTTCTGGAGAAGAAAGAACCCAAGTCTCTCCTAAAAAGATTTTTAATTATTTCCCAAGGCCAGAATTTTATCATATCTGCAAACATTTTGAAATAAATGTGCAAGGCTCTGAAGGGACAGGCAGACAGATGTCTCTAAAGTTGCACTTCAGGTTTCGCAAAGTAGAAAGTTTTTCTTCTCCCTCTGGGTACATTTAACTGTGGGGAGAAGGTCAGAAAAAAAAATCATTATCAACCTCTGAATATCAGATTCCAAATTGGTCAAATTTTTAACCACAGAGTTATTATTTAAAAGAAAAAGTCCTTGACAGGCCTCAATTATCAATAGAACAGACAAAATATTTCTGGCAGAATTAAATAATCCTATGGACCCCAGAAGCATCCTCAAAAAGTGCAAAAGAAATAGCCTCAAGATCCAAAGCCAGGGCCTCCCTGGTGGCACAAAGGGTTAAGTCTCAGCACTGTGAACCTATGAGTTCGACCTGCAGCCAGGGAGCTGACCCACATGACACAGCAGACCTCTCCTGTCTTGAACATAAATAAATAAATCTTTAAAAAAAAAGAAGAAGAAGAAGAAGATCCAAAGCCATTCCCCAGGATAGTCAAAAGAAAGACTGATGCCCGTCACAGGTGAGTGGATAAAGGAGATGATATGTGTATACACACACAAAAGGGAACACTACTCAGCTGTAAAACAAGATGAATCCTGACATTTGCAAAAATGGGCAGACCTAACGTGTATTATGGTGGGTGCTATATAAGTTACTGTATTGTCTTACTCATATGTGTTATGTAGAGAAACCAAACTAAATAAAAGAAAAAACAAACTTTAAGACCATAAAATCAATTAGTGGTTACCAGAAGGGAGGGGGGGGGTGGATCAATTGGGTAAAAGGGACAATTGTGTGGTAAAGGATAGAATTAGGCTTTTAGTGGTGAAGTAAAAGATTTAGTTATTTATGCATACAAGAGCTGGGGCACAGGCCAGAGATGCGGGGGTGAGAGGACCCACCAGAGACAGAGTGGGGAATAGAACAGGCAGACTGACTGAAATCCACTGCTGAGGGGAGCAGTGGGCGAATCAGGAGAGGTCTGCTGCGCCCTGTGGGTTGCTCCCTGGCAGGCCGGGGATTGGGGATCGCACTCATGCAGCTGAGACTGCGGCTTGCTTCATAGTGTGGTGCTTAACCCCTTGTACCACCAGGGAGGCCCTAGATGGGCTTTTAATTTTTGTTTTAAGTCTAACCTCTGTCCTTTTGTCTCACTAAGAGATTCCCTGAGAGCCGAGATACTTCTTTCCATTCATTTTTCAACTTGATCTTCCTGTAGGTGCCACGATGATGATCATAACAGCTCTGCGAAAGCTTTTTAAATATAGAAGTTTTTCTAATTCAAAGGACCCGTTGCCTGGCCATTGGCAAGGAAGATCACTGTGAATGTATTTATTCTGATCGATGCCGCCTCACAAGATCCAGAAAAACTCACTCCCCGAGTTTGGCCTACAAAAGAAAAGAACTATGAGGGACCCTGTTATCCCAAACAGCTATTTCAGAACACAGGGATCACATGCTTTCTCTCCTTTTGAACAGAACGATAGCTTAGATTCCCTAAGACAAATAATAAGACAGACAGACAAGGAAAACAAAGACCTCCCCTGGGAGAAAAAGGATCAATAGCCAAGAGTTATTGAGCCCCAAGAACTAGTTCCACCAATATTTTCTCCTGCTAATCTTAATTCTAGACGAGTTAAGATTCCAGTCTCTAGAAGATGAGTTAAGATTCTCTATAAGAGGGGGAGAGAGTCTCACCACTGTCATTTCCACCAGGCCCTGCTGATAGAGGCCCAGGAGAGTGATGTTGTCAGTCTCGTCCTCTCACCAGCTGTGTTGGGAATCCCTGGGATCTCCTTCTGCAGGAGACACTCAGGAGTGAGCAGTGTCCAGTGATGAAGTAACCCTTCATGGTTGCCAAACGGGCAGGGAAACAAGGGAACTCCTGTCCCTTCTGTGTGCTTCTCTGGTTGGTTAAATAGCCAAATAAACATCAGATTGATTATTAGGAGGAAAAAACCGACTTAATTGTGTATGTATGGGGAATCTACACAGACCGAAAGATTGCAAAGACAAATACTCAACTGATGGCGTACATCCTGAGCTGAGGGATGAGATGGGGGCCTGAGGCTTCCTGGGGACTCACATGACAAAGAGGTGCTCTGTAACTAGATGTTTGCCCTGCCACACATTTACAGGTTATTCAGACGGTAAATGTATTTCTGGCAATGACTCTAATTCTGTGTAAGACCCCCAATTTTCATTCTTTCAGGTACTTAAGGGGGTGGCCTGTCTTTGGGAGGCCTTTCTGAACATCTGGGGAATGCCCGCTCTTCAACTCCTGGCGAATGTTTCTGGTGAAATGAGAAAAACAGCTTGGATGGAAGGAGACTTGAGTGAAAATCTTATCTCTCGGGTTTTGCCTGGGACCCTGGGGCAAAGGTTCCAAGCCTCAACACATCCGTTCATACGTCATCTGCAGCACAACATGACAGTTTGATAGTTCTGCTCTGGAGAAGAGATCTTGCTGGGAGATCCATGAGGCAGTGAGCTTGGAGGCCCCCCTCACTCACCACCCTAGCTCCGCCTCTCCCCTACAGTCAACCCTGAGCGTGTTGGTGCTTCACTTCCATGGTGGGGCCATTTATTGACAACTTCTCCTTCTGTAGCCCCTACTATGTGCTCTGTATCACCACACTAGACCGTCACCATTAATGCCTTAAGAGGGATCTGTGCTCTGATCTGGCTGACCCTAAATCCAGCCACGAGGCTGGATTTCCCAGGCTCTATGGCCTCCCTGTGCGTCCTGACCTTTCCCCCTCGTCCCCCGACCTTGGGCATGACAGGGAGACCCCAAAACCTTGGAACAGGCACCCAGGAATCCTGGGCCTAGCGGCGCATTCTGCGACCTGCCCGCCGCCCCGGGAGGAAGGAGTGGACTAGGGTCTGGCTGCAGCTGGTCGAGCTGCACCGGCCTGGAAGCTGCTTAGGTTCCTGGTTCCCACCGGGGTCAAGAGTGACACCTGATACAGGTGAGTTGTGAAATGGCATGAGGTGGCAGCCTGCCTGCGAGCCAGTAGAGCACTCTACAGCTTGGCGAGGCCCCGCCCCTACCCCACGCCCCCCTCGTTCGAGGTTAAATCCCCCCATCCCAGCAGCAGCTCACACCTGCACCCCGCCTGCCCGCCCGGCTGCACCATGCCTGCCCGCCCGGGCCTGGGCCTGCTCGCTGCCGCCCTCCTCGGCCTGCTGCTGCTCGGCCTACCCCCGGTCACAGGTGAGCGCGGCCGGGCGGGGTGTGTATGGGGGGAGGTTGGCGCCCGGAGGGGCTGAGCCGAGAGGTCTGGACCTTCTGGCAGAGGCACAGCCTCTTCGGGGACTGAGAAGTGGAGATTCCTGAGGCGGAAGTGCAGAGACCCAAGAAGACAAATTTGGAATTTCTCGTGCACTGGGGCAGTGATCCTCAGAATTTAGGATTTGGGGCCAAAGTATTCCAAGTGGGGAGACCACGGAAGGCTGAAATTTGGGGGGGAGGCTCTGTGCTGAGGGTGGAGATTCAGTGACCAGCGAGGAGACCCTCAGCCTGGGCATCAGAAACTCCTACATGCCCAGCTGTGGGGTCGGGGGGCTCTGAGGCCAAGGCTTAGGAACTACTGTGCTCCCGGGTGCTGGGAGACCCTGGGGCGGCCCCTCTTGCCACAGACTGAGAATTCCTTCAAGTGGAAATTTGGGACCCTCGATTTGGATCGGGCCGTGGGCCTCCCCTGGGGCGGGGACTCAGGTCCCCTAGCTAACGCCCCCCTGCCTCCGTTCTCAGGTGCAGCAGCAGAAAAAACAGGGGTGTGCCCCCAGCTAACGGAGGGCCAGAACTGTACACAGGAGTGCAAGTCCGATGGCGAGTGCGCGGACAACCTCAAGTGCTGCCCAGCCGGCTGCGCCACCATTTGCCAGATGCCCAATGGTAACCCCTGGGCGACCCGCGCGGGGCGGCGGGAGAGGCGGGGGGAGGCGGGAGCGCCCGGGGTCGGGAAAGAGGGGCGCTCCCCTGGGGCCCCTGGCGAGGTTGAGGCGGATGGAACCAGATCCGCCAGACCCTGAGGAGACAAAGCCGGCGCTGAAGCGCAGCGCGGGGGGAGGGGAGCGCCCCCCCCCCCCAGCCCGGGTTTGATTCGAGTCCCAGGGGCGTGACGGGCTTCCGGGCGCGCGCGGCCGGGATGTGGTTCCGGGAGATCTGGGGACCCGGGCTCGCAGCCCCCCGCCGCCCCCCGCCAGGGGAATCTTGGGGCGGCGAGTGAGCCGGGCCCGCGCCCGCCCGGGACGCCCATCCCTCGGGGTCCAAGGACTTGGGGTGCCTGACCTGGCGGGTCTCCCAAGATTCCTCTGTGCAGGCGGAGACCGACCTCGGATTTAGGGGGCGCTCAACTCATCTTAAGATGTGGAAATGAGAGGGGCGGGGGACGGGAGGGGAGGATTTTCCATGGAAGTCAAACTAGAGGACCCAGCATTTTCCTGAGTGGTTTTGATGGTTTGTTTGTTTTTTGGGTTTGGAGTGCGGGGTCCTTGGGCTCATGTGGGAAAGATTTCCTCAGAGCTCGGGTTTCAGCGGCAGCAGCAAGTTTCCCAGGAGAGTTTCTCCAGGAGACAGAGAGGGTAGCTGTATTTAAAGAGGTTTATCAGAAAAGGGATAGGACTGGGCCTCCCTGGTGGCGCAAGGGGTTAAGCACCACACTATGAAGCAATCCGCATCCCCTGCAGCGTGAGTTCGATTCCCAGAAGGGGAGTTTGGACCCACATGGCACAGCAGACCTCTCCTGTCTCTCCACTGCGCCCCTCAGCAGTGGATTTCAGTCAGTCTGCCTGTTCTGTACCCCAATCTGTCTCTGGTGAGTCCTCTCACCCCCCACATCTCTGGCCTGTACCCAGCTCTTGTATGCATAAATAAATAAACCTTTAAAAAAAAGAAGAAAAGAGATAGGACAGAAAAAGACATTTGCATAGACCACACAGGCAGGAAGAGGGACCCTTAGTGGGGGGGAGTGTGAGGTTTTGCCCTCTTCTTTGGGGAGGGAGGGGCTCATCTTAGATTTTTGCTAATTTTGGACAACTCTGCAAAACCAGGAAGGGCCCAGAGATTCCAGGATGGGCCCAATCTCCACATCTTTGCCCTCAGGTCTGTGCTCTACAGGCTAAGGCCATCCGAGTCTGCTTGGGTCTCAGGCCTTGAGATACGGTGCTGGCCCTAAGGGTCTTGATTTCTACAGCTGGGTTAATGGTCTTGTTATTTCCCGCTCCCCCACCTCCTTGTGGGAGTCAGGTTCTGGCCTTGGGGCACCTCCTTTCCAGTCTTTCTGTTCTTGTCCTCCATTGGTTTGAAGGCAGTCAGGACTCTTCACGGCACCCCTGCCCCTCCTCAGCTGTGTGAGAAAGACCAGGTGCCCGTCAAAGGGCCCGCCAGACCAAGGGCCCGCCAGACTGGCTGCCTCAGCTCCAGGCTCCGCTCCCATCCCAGCAGGTGGTGGCCCCAGGCACAGATGCCATCTGCTGCCTTTTCAGAGGGAAAAACAGGACTGGAAGCAGGAATTTGACTTGGGTGTTGTAGTCACTGGTCTTTACCCAGAAGACAGCCTCAGTGCTAGTCCCTCTTCCTGTTTCACTGTTCTCCAGAGATGTCGGCAGGGACTGGAAGGTGTGTGACTAGAGACCTCAGAGTAGAATGAGCAGGAAGCTGCAGGCGGAGGGAAGATTCATTGGGGGAAGCTTCTGGGCCTGGGGGCCTCTATTCTGGACCAGAGAAGGAAGGAGGGCGGTGGGGGGGGGGCAACAGGTGAGGAGGGTCCTAGAACACAAGGACTTTCTGTTCTTAGGTGGAATCGCCACTGTCCCCTTGTCTCATATGGGCAGGCTGAGGCAGAGGGTCAGGACCTCCTGAGCTAGAATCCTGTTCTGCTGCCTCTTAGTCTGGGGTCCTGAGTGAGTTTCTTCCCCTCTCTGCCTGTGCTTCCTCATCAGCAAAATGGGAAAGATGGTTTCAAACTTTGTAGGATGCACACGAGGGTTAAGCGAAGTAACCCCCCGCAGTGTCTTAGGAGGGAGCCGGGGCTCTGCATGGGTGCCTTGATCTGTCAGTGACTGTCCCTGTGCCACAGGCAGCCCTGCAGGGAAGCCACCTTTTTCCAGGGGATGACTTTCTTTGTACTAGGAAGTCAGGCTGGCCAGCCCCTCCTGTCCTCTGCTGCTAAGCACCCCGATATGTGTGTGTTTAGCGTGCCTGGGCTTGCACCGGGCAACTCCCTCTCCTGGATGGAGGAGCTGGAGGGTGTTCATGCTGCTGGAGGGCTGGATTCAGGTCTGGGTTCTAGCAGGGTCCTGCTGAGTGGAGCCTTCCCTTGCTGTGCCTCATCTTCCAGTGTGGGGTAGAAACAGGGTTAGAAATACCCCTGACAGGGCCTCGCCTGGTGGCACAGGCAGTTGAGCGCCGCGCTGTGAAGCTGTCTGCAGCCTCTGCAGTGCCGGTTTGATCCCGCCTGGCTGGCGGGCGAGGGTCACACATGGCGCAGCAGACCTCTCCTGTCGCGCCCGCTGCTCCCCTCAGCAGTGTGTTTCGTCAGTCTGCCTGTTCTGTTCCCCGCTCTGTCTCTGGTGAATCTCTCACCCTCCCGCGCATCCGACCTGTACCCCAGTTCTTGTATGAATAAATAAATAAATCTTAAAAAAAAAAAACCCTGACAATGGACAGTGTGGGGGTTAAAGGAGATAATGCATTTATACAAGAACCCCGGTTCTCCTTGCCAAGGAGGCTCATCTCTGCAGCGTTAGCTGTCCATGTATGTGCATGTGTGTGCAAGAATGCTCATCTCTGTGTGGATGTGAGGTTGCAGGGGTTGCCATGCTGTATGATTGTAACTGGGAGGCACCCCGCATCAGTAAAGGGATGGGGGTGCAGAACCTCCCAAGTGCACTGCACCCTCCAGGCTGCAAAGCAGCCAGGCACATGGTGCAGACTCTGAAGCCAGATTCCCAGGTTTCACATCTTGCCCTGTAGGACCTAAGGCGAACACCTTAACCTCTGGGCGCCTCAGTTTCCTCTACCATAACAAGAGGAAGTGTTGAGTACCTCTTCCCATCTGTCAGGATTACTGTGAGGATTAAATGAGTTAATACAAGTCAAGTGCTTAGAAGAATGCCTGGCACATAAGAAGAGCAGAGTGAGTGTCAACTGTTACAATCACTCATCATTGTTATCACAAAGTAGTTTGATCTTTCAGGGAGAAGCCATATTTGTGTACATTATCTCCAGCCCTTTCACAGCAACCCGGTGATGTGGGCAGCACAACACGGGAGCTCAGGAGACTTCTGGCCCAAGCCGTGGAGTTTAGGGAAAGCAGAGCTGGGTCTCAGGTCCTAGGAGTCCAAAGCCAGCAACAGAGGAGCAGGTGGAGGGGTTTGTAGGTGACCTTCCAGATCCTAAGATGAGCTTGGGGAGGCAGTTCTGATAGGGGTGAAGGATGTCCTGAGCAAACTCCATACAGGCTTTGTGAACGCCACCCCCATGACACTGGGAACTACAAATCCCATAATCACCAAAGGGAAGGTTGTGAGGACCTGAGGGGGGAGTTAAACAACTAGGCCCTTGGTTTGGGTATGTAACTGGCCATGTGGCCGGGGGGCACTAGAGGCGTGCTAGGTGTTTCGCCAGCACTGCAGGTCATTGGGGTTCCAGGTCAGGGGAATGGGCAGGACGCATTTACGAACTTATCTCCCTCTTTTTCTCCCTGAGTTATTCATTTCCCATTTCCCCTTCCCTTGTAAATGAACCTTTTATCAACCTTTTGTGTATGTCTGCAGTTTAGCATCAATAAGTCCCCCTTTTTTAAAATTTATTTTATTTTATTTATACAAGCACTGGGTACAGTCAGAAGCGCGGGAGGGTGAGAGAATTCACGAGAGCCAGAGTGGGGAGCAGAGCAGGCAGAAGGACTGAAGTACACTGCTGAGGGGAGCAGCGGGCGGCAGCAGAGGGCTGCGCGCCATGTGAACCGGCACTGCAGAAGCTGCGGGCAGCTTCGCAACCCAGCGCTCAACCGCTGCGCCACTGGGGAGGCCCTCAGTAAGTCTCCTTTAAGTGCGCGGGGGAGGACCCACAGTCAGGCAACCCTATTTTATATCGGGGTTTGCCCTGTCACAGCTCCACTGCTTGGGAAACCAGGGTGGGGCCGGGGAGGGCAGGAGTGCACGAGTGTTCATCCCTCCTGTACCCCTCTAGCCACCCCTTACTCCTCTTTCCACCCAGAAAAGCAGGGCTCCTGCCCCCAGATGGAATCTGGGATCCCCCAGCTCGGCCTCTGCGTAGACCAGTGCCAGGTGGACAGCCAGTGTTCCGGCCAGTTGAAATGCTGCCGCAATGGTTGTGGGAAGATATCCTGTGTCACACCTGTCTTCTGAGGTAGGTGTGTGTGTGGGGCGGGGAGCGGCCATGGATGCCCAGATGTGAGGGCAGCTGCAGGAGGCTGGGAAAGAGGGCTTATCTGTCCATTTCTTCGCTTTCCTCACTCACAAGCTGTTTATTGCACATCTGTCACGTGCCCCGCACTGCTCTGGGCGCTGGGGGTGCTCCGTGAGTGGGCGCGGCAGACAAACATCTCTCTCGGGTGGGTTTATATCCTGTGGGACAATAAACAAGATAAACGAGCGAGCGTGAGTCCTGCGGAGTGTTAGAGGGAGATCAGTGCCTTGGAGAAAAATCAGCGCAGAAGGGGAGGGGTGGGGAGGGTGGCAAGCCGTGTTGCAGAGTTTCCCCGGGTCAGTCAGTGCCAGGCCCACCAAGAAGGCGGCAGTGGAACCAAGAGTGGATGAGGGAGCCAGGAGGGTGTTTGAGGAGAGTGCTGCAGGCAGAGGGGGCTGTGGGCCAAAAGCAGGAGCAGACAGTGAGCAAGGAGAGGACTGGAGAGGGCTGCGAGGTAAGGGTCTAGTGGAGCAGCTCTGAGGGCCTGAGGCCGTTGCAAGGACTTTGGCCTTGACCTGGAGGTGGAGAATGGAGATGGAGATATGCCCTCTGGGACTGAGATTGTAAAGGATGCTCCAGCTGCTGTGCAGAGTGGACCTTCGGGGGCAGCAGAGAAGCAGGGAGACCCCTGAGCGGCAGGTGAGGTGGCAGGCCCGGGACCTACGAGGCTGGGTGGCTTCTAGGGCCTTAGGTGAAGGAGAGTGGGGCAGCACTGACTGGGGAGCTGGGCTGTGGGAAGTCGGCGCTGCAGAACACCGTACCTGGGGGAAGGGGCAGTGGCTGGAGCGGGGCGCTGGAAGTTCTCTGCATGGCCAGTGGGAAGCAGAAGAGTCGCCCTTCTCTTTCGCCCAAGAGCTTGGCTTTCAGGACACGCCTGGTAGAGATGGGCACTCACCTCCACAAATGTGTTCAAAGCTTCCTGAGCGCTACTTCCTGGCAGCCAGAGGGAGCCGGCGACACCTCTGGTGGCCCTGACCCTGAAAGAGAGAATTGTGAGCTTCTCCCCACCTTTGGTTAAAAATAAAACGACAGTAGGTTGTAAAGGAGGTATAAGGAAGTAAAGAAAAGCAACACCGGTTGGTGCATGGGTGCTGGGGAGAAAGGTGGAGCTGCCCCTGCCCAGAGCTTGGAGCCAGGAGCTGGGATGGACAGGTGGACAGACACTTCCAGGGCCCCAGGAGGGGAGAGGGGCGCCTCACCAGGTGGGGTGGGGCAGCTTGGTGGGGAAGGCTTCCAGGAGAGCGGCCCTGAGCCCGTCTAACGGGTGACTGAGAGGCTGACAGTCCGGCGCTGGGTGGGCAGGCTCTGTCAGGCAGAGGAAACAGGACAAGCACGAACTTGAAGGGCCCTTGGGTTGAAGTCTCACTGTAGGTCTCCTGCTGCCTCTAACAAGTCACCGCCAGGGGACTGGCAGGCCCCTCATGGAACCCAGGATTGCAGAGCTGAGAAGAGTGAGGCCCAGAGAGAAGGGAGGGCGCGCCCAAGGCCCCGTGGCGGCTATTCCAAGCCTGCTCTTCGGTGTCCGCAAGGGAACCCCGTCTCTGAGGACCCTGACCACTGTCTCGTGCCCCCCTGCATGCCAGCAGCATGGCCATGGGTTCAGCTCTCACGCTTAACCAGCCTTTTCATGGCCCTGAGCTGCAATGATCTTGCATGTAAATTGGGATGAATAAGATCTCTTTAATGAGTGTTTCCCAACTTCCCCTAAGGAATGGGGGTCTGCTGGAGCTTCCGGTTGGTAAAGGAATTCTTGGGGGACGAATGATCTTGGCTCCTAAGGAAGGCCATGGTGGTCTGTTGGGGCCATGGGACACCCAGGAGTGTGGTGGGGGTGGGGGTGGTGCGGAAGCTGAAGAGGTGAGTCCAGGACCTGCAGGGAAGTAGGGTCCCCAGAGCTTCCAGGTCAAGCCTGGCTGTGGCGGGAGGGATGCTAAAGTGGGCGGAGCTTTGGCCCAGGATTTCAGTGCAGATATGCTTGCCTGGTATGGCGGACATTGTTGCTAATGGTGGTGTGATTTTCTTCCTCCAGCCCGGAACAGTGCAGTGCAAGTGTAGAAGTTTCTGCCTGGCCCTGTCTCGCTCCCGCCCAGCTTCTGCCCCTTCCTGGCCTCTGCACTCCCTCCTGACCACAGCTCGTCCTCTTCCAACCAATAAAGTGACCACTTCCAGCACTGGTGGGGCGGTAACCTCGTTCTTATCATTCTGTGCCCGGCTCCCCTGAGGCTGGGTTCTCCAGGCACAAGGTCCGGAGAGGGGTCCACTGGAAACAATGAACTTACATTCAGGTGGGGCTGGGGGCTGCCCTCCGTGGGGAATGGCAGAGAAAGCTGAGGCTCAGTTGATGATGGGTTCCTCCAGGCACACTGATCCCTTGCTGGGGGTCCAGATCATAGCAGGGGCCACACACCGTGTGCCAGGCCCCAGCTGGGCCATGTTTTGGTGGGGTCTCCCAGGTCAGATGGGCAGAACGCCTCAGAATAGCTAATGACAGTCCCATGTTACACACCAGGAACCCACAGGTCTCGGCCACCCAGTAAGAAAGTGGCAGGCTAGATCCTTTGCTGTCGTTCTTTAAAATCAAACTTTTATTTTGGATATATCATCCATTTGGATGAAACAAAGTTCAACAGGTGAAAGAGGGTTTGCAGTGAAGAGTGTCTCTTCCCCTGGCCTCCTTTCCCCTCCATCCCTGGCCGCCCAGTGGTTTTCGACAGGGATAATCATTGTTGCCAGTTTTCATATATTATTCAGAGACAGAGTTCCTCTTTCTTACTTTTTTATTTTTTATTTTATTATTTTTTAAAAGATTTATTTATTTCTTTATACAAGCGCTGGGTACAGTCAGAAGCGCGGGAGGGTGAGAGAATTCACCAGAGCCAGAGCAGGAAACAGAACAGGCAGACTGAAGAAATACACTCCTGAGGGGAGCAGCGGGCATGGCAAGAGAGGTCTACGCGCCATGTGGGACCCTCGCCGGAGGCTGGGGATCGAACTGGCGCTACAGAGGCTGCGGGCAGCCTCGCAGCCCAGCATCTTACCTTTTTACATGAACGCTATACATTGTGTTGTACCTTGCTCTTTTTACTTGATTTATCTTTTTTTAAAAAAAAATTATTTTATTTATTTATGCATAGCAGAACTTGGGTATAGGCCAGAGATGCGGGGGTGGGGGTGGTGAGAGGATTCACCAGACACAGAGTGGGGGGTGAACCAGGAGAGGTCTGCTGTGCCATGTGGGTAGCTCCCTGGCTGCAGAGGCTGCAGATAGCTTCATAGTGCTGCGTCTTAACCCCTTGCGCCACCAGAGAGGCCCTTAGTGCCCTTTGGGTGCTCTAATCCATTTACTCTGCCAGGGAGCAGGACCTTGCGTAGCTTCCTGGTTTAGAGCACCCCACAGGCAGCACCTTCCTGCAAAGTCTTGTCACCAAGTTGGTGCTGTAGCAGCAGCAGGTCAAGCCTGGCCCACCATGTCAGCACAGATGGCCTAAATTCTCCAGTGAATGTCTTAAAAAAAAAGGCATTCACTTAAATAAGCACAGTATAACAATCAGCTTCAGGGAATTGCCGTCAGTCCAGTGCCTTGTCCACAGAGAGGGCTAGTTACATACTTGTTGGGGCCCAGAGCTCAGTGAACATGTGGGCCCTTGTTCAAAACACCGGGGACATGCCCTGAAGGTCCGCAGATAGGATACCTTTTCCTCTCCTGCAGCTTCTCTCTTGACCTGTCATGGTGCTTTCTATTGATGAGTTAAGGGCTCCGCCCCCTACTGGGCAGTGTACCCCGGAGCCCTCCACCTGCCCCTGGACTCCTCCCACGAGCAGCCAGTCTGCAGGTTTGTGCCCCAACCTCCCTTTCCCACAGCCCATGAACTAGGTGATCTCCAAGCATGGTCATCTCTGTGCTGGGATATGCTCTGTACGTGGGTCATGGTGGGTCAAAGGTTAGCCCCTGTGGAGTCACCTGCCAAGTGCATCATGGTGCTTGCTGTTGTCCGGGACAGGGACAGTGCATGTAGTATGTGTGTGTGTGTGTATGTGCATGTCACTTGGCTCAGTGTAGGACAGAAATGTATATGCAAGATCTCCGCTTTCAAGAACACGTAAGACATGAACATAGAAGCAAGCAGGCTTGAGATATGTCTGTGTACCCACAGGGAGAGCAGGGAGAGGGCCAGGCATTCTGTCGGACGGAGAGTCGAGCCAGCCCAGGTTGGTCACAGCAAAACTGATTAAGAACTTGGGCCCTCAAGACAGACTTTGATTCCAACACCATTTTCAGTCCTTGCCAATTTGCTATTTTGGTCAGGTAATTTATCTTCCTGACCTTCAACTCCTTCATTGGTAAGACACAGATATTAATAGAATCTTCCTCTCCAGGCTGTTGGGAATAATAAATGAGATAATGTATGTAAAGCACTTAGCTCGATTCCCGGCATAACATGAGTGTTTCATAAGTAGTAATTATTGAAATTTTAATGGATGGCATTACGTATCAAAAGCTTTTAAATGCATATCCTCTTTGACCCAGAAATTTCACTTTTAGAATCTATCCTCAGTAGACGATCAGAAATGCCCACAGTGATTTATTATCCTTGCAATGTTACTTATTATATTGAGAAACCATAAACAACCTTAACATTTAATCATAGAAGCTTTAAATAAATTATGACCCAGTCATACAAGCTCTACACCTTTTAGCAATCAGGTTGCAGAATATTTAATGATACAAGAAAATCTTCACCCAATATGTTAACTGGTAAAAGCAGGTTATAAATATGCATTTATATTGTATGATTTATAATGATTTATATTTATAATGTATGATCCTAACTTTCTGTATGTTTACTTGATTCTTCCCAGAAAGTTTGTTAAAGGCCTTGAGCAGCTTGCTGCTTCCTTAAGGGGCATTTGAAAGATCTTCCTCCAATATATGTGGATGGAGACATTTAATGAGACCTCAGTACTATGGCAAGAGTGTTATTCCTGTTGCCCATGTTGCTTGTCTGGCACCGACTGGCCTTCTGATAGTTGTTATTTATCTTTCCATCTAAGTAACTTTGATAACACAGCAGCTCTCAGGATCCAAACTTGGTGATTTATGACCACTTGGGTGTTTGTGCTCATAGGAATTAGGTGCTACTGCCCCCCAATAAATATCAGGGAAGAAGGAGGGGCAAAGAAAGAGACCCAAGAGTTGAGATGTTACACAGCCACTGCTGTGTGATTCTGGCCAAGTTACCTCCTGTGACCCTCACACATCAAAGGTAGCCACCAGCAACCCCCCCTCCTGGGATTCAGCCTCTTGTAATATCCTCCTGGAGTGTGGGCTGGGCCTGTTGACTGGCTTCTTTTGATTTTTTTTAAATTGAGGTACTATTGGTTTATAGCACTGTATATGATTCAGAGGTATAGGACATAGGGTAAGTGAATTCATCAGGGTTTTGCACCACTAGCCTCTGTGGCTATCACCTGCAGCCTGATCATGTTGATGCAGGAGGCACTTGGGAGTGTGGGCTTGGGGCACGCATGCCTGATTGTGGACACCTGGAGCATAGGCATGGGCATGCGTAAGTGGGCACACCTGAGCCCAGAGGCCACAGCTACAAGGGCGGCATCACTCACAGACAGGACAGCTACGAGAGGATAAGCAATGTGACTACAGAAGAGGTGAGACCATGAGAGAATGCCAGAACGGGGGTGGGGGGGGGTGGGGGATGGGGCTTGCCAGCCTCCCGGCACCCCTGCCTACCCTGCGCCTGGTTGCCCCACTAGAAGGATCACACTCTTCAGAGTGTGCTACCACACCACCCCCACCACCATGGCACCATAGTCCCCCACTGTAGTCCATGGGGCCCCTCTGCACTTTGCTCTGCACCCTCCCCTCCCCCACCCTCTGCTGGCCTCAATACTGTCAACCGGCTTCTAATGAGGAGTGATGGGATGAAAAGTAGTGGTTCGGAAACTGACTTCCATCTTGGCAGCACTCTCTCCGGTTCATCTCGCTGCTTGTGCTGATGAAGGCGGCTGCCCTGTCAGGAGCTGGCCTCTGGGGAGCCCACTTGTCAAAAAATTGAAAGTGGCCTCTGGCCAACAGCATTCCAGTTGCTGAATCCTGCCAACAACCACACAAGTGAGCTCGGAAGTGGAATCGTGTCTTCAGCAACATGATTTTTCCGGTCTTCTTGCTATAGGCCATCCCATGGCTGTGAGGGGGTATCTCGCTGTGGTTTTGACTTGTATTGCCCTGATAACAAGTGATAATATGCATTTTTTTATGTGTCTGTTGGCCATCTGAATGTCTATTTAGCTCTGTTGCCCATTTTTTGATTGGGTTCTTTGTTTTTTGTTGTTGTTGTTGAATCATAGGGGCTCTTTCCATCTTGCCTCCTCCAGCAGGTGTATAAAATTCTTCCTGTCAGAGGTTTAAAGAAGAGAGTTAGAAAGGAGTAGAGAAATATAATGATGCTTTGGGACCCTGAACAGGGACACTGGCTAAGTCCTTTAGGGGCAATGGAGTACAGTTACTTTGGGGTATCAAGAAAGAAATTATAGCCAGCGTCTAGGAGAAAGGTGGAACTGAGGAACTCTGCAGAGTAGACACAAGCGAAATAAGCCAGAAAGAAAAAGAAAAATCCTGGATTGTCTCACTCATAGCAGGAATTTAGAAAACCTAAATAAGGAACAAGGAAAAAGACTAATTATAATAAAGTAAAAATCAAAATCAACAAACAACTATAAACCAGAGACACACTACGGGGGTGGAGGAGGGAGGAGGGATTAGGGTCAATAAGGGGGGTGGAATTGTATGGGGACTATAACCAAGATGAAAATGCATTCATTGTGCAAAAATGAAAAATGATGTAAAAAATATATAAAATTTAAAAATGAAATTAAAAAATCATAAAGGAATGTGAGATACTAAGAATAATAAAATCTGTTTTAAACATCAAAATCTAAAATAGTTTATAAAATATAAACATCAAAATAGTCTTTTGAAAATTAAAAAGGAGAGAGGGTTTTTAGGGCCCTACTGAGCCTCCTGGAGCCCTAGGTGATACACATCGGCCAGGTATTTTCTGAGTTCTGGAGAGTGACGAGCAGAGAATAGAAGTCACTGAGCCAGTTCTTGTCAGGTGAGAAAGACGCTGGGGAAACATCTGAAGACCCAGCAGGACTAAAAATGAGTGTGCAC